CAGCTCAGGGGCCTGACTTGTTGCAGGTACACACAGTTGCTCAAACTGTGCCTCCACCTTCAAGCATAGCTTTGTTAGGCAGCTTGAAGGCCGATGCCCCCCTGCTTGAAATTTCACATGTAAAATTGCAACAGCATGTGGTTGGGAGTGACCCCCTGCGTTCCTGATCTAGAACGGTACACACACACACCCACACACTCTGTCAAGGCAAGTGCAGACACTCTGAACTCTGGACAGGACCAAATGGCACAATCACAAACGCATTTTATAGTGGTCTGGTCGTTGTGTTGGTTTTATACATGCAGGTGTCGGAATGAACAGGTTGATTCCAAAGGTACGCCAGACACTGGGAATGGCATACCTGCAAAACAAAATGAGATGAGTACGTTGGGGTAAGGGTCCTGCCCCGCTGAGCCAAACACTGGGAATGGCATAGCATGAAATGAGATGAAGGTGAACGAAATGATGCCCGCCAAGCTATTCTCGCAAGAATCCATGAGCAGGGCAAAAGTGGGTACGTTCCCCACCCCTCGCCCCTGGCCCCCCACAGAATGAAACAACCGCAACATGCAAAAGAATAGAAACAGCAGTGACCCCTTTCCTGTATGTACAACAGGTTGCACACACACACACGCACGGAGAAAGGGACTAAGACATCTGGATTCGAATCGACGAATCGACAAACCCGTCGACCATTAGCCTGGTAGTAATAGTGAGACGATTTAGGACGAGAAAAGTCGCAGCAGCGTCCTCTCAATCTGAATAGAACAAAATGTACTGCACGACATGCCTGAACATGCTTGAACATGTCTGAATATGTACCATAAAACATGTCTGAACATGCGCCGCGCAACATCGCAACATGTCTGAACTGCACTGTGTGGTGCATGTTTGAACCGCACCAAGAAACTGCAAATCTTTGCTCTGAAGCGGCTGCACCATGTCTGGATCCAAGCATCGTGAAAAATCGCATCTTCAAAACCGTGCGGGAGAACAAGTCCACAAGCTGCACCCCATGCCGACCGTTTTGCAGGTGCAGGAATACAAGTCTGTATTCCATCCACCTGTGCTCCATAGCTTCGTTGGCATGGCTAAGAGCAAACGTGTCTTGCCCCCTGCTGTTTGTATCGTGAACATGAGCGTGAGCATGAACAATCTTGGAATTGGCAACCGGGGGGTACCCACACACACACTTGTGTAAGCCGATGATGATTGGCATTCATGTTGGACAAAAACATGTTTGGATGTCCACTAAAAGTTCTCGAGCTAAAGCTTGATTGCTTGTGGAAAGAGGTTTCGATGCTGGTGGCAAACTTGTGTGCCTACCTAGCTGCTTCACATGCACTGACAAGGAATCACATGCGCAGAATGCTGCGCGTCACTCATGCACTGATCGCACCCCAAATGCAGACAAGGTCTTGCTTTCTCAAAACTGCTGACTCTAATCTGGACACCACAGGGGGCTGTCCTTTCCTAATCTTGGGCACCTCAAGGGGCTGCGCTTGCAGGGGATTGATCAGATCCCATATCCGGGCATCATCACTCCAGCTTTGTTAGAGACTGTCAAGTGATGTGCCCCGCCGACCCCTGTTTGTGAGTTAAACCCGAAATCCTTCATGGTGGGAGTGACCCCCTGCCTGCATGTCCTAGCAAGGTTAACACACACACACGGGGAAAGCCACGAGGGCACAACATACCCGTTCGCTTGGACTATACCCACTCATGCCAACATGACACCAAAGAATGCCAAAATGTCTTGCTGCACACAGTTGCTGAGCTCTTGCAGTGAGACAGCAGGTACACAGAGCTGGCCAAGCTCTGCTCCCCATGAGATCAGGTACCCCCGCATTGAAAAAATAGCTGAGTACACGTGTGGTCATAGGCTTCCCCACACGCAAGCCACTCGGGCACCATGGTGAGGTCAGTTGGGAGGTTCGCAGGTCGACCCCCTGCCTTCCTGCTTGTGCTAGGTCAAGTGAAAGGTTCGCAGGTCAAAGCCGCAGCCCTCTGCAACTGCTTTTTATTTGTTCTAGATCAGTTGAAGGGTGCCCAGGTCGCCTGGCTGCTTCTTTGAGGCAGTTTGGGGTTCGCAGGTCAAAGCCCCAGCCCCCCAAAACTGCCTTGTTGTTTCTTTTGAGTTTAGTTGGGGGTTCGCAGGTCAAAGCCGCAGCCCCCGACAACGGCCTTGCTCAAGGCTGGTCTCAGGCCATTATAAGGAATCGTCTCTGGGGAGCTCCTAATTGGTTGAATGCCCACGTCAAACTGATGCCAAATGTGCTCAAACGATTCCATGTGATGCCAACATGCCCACGAGTCTGGCAGGCGGACTGATAGGAGCACACCCTTTGGCAGAACGTGTATCGAAACGCATCGGGAAAGCCACGAGGGCACAACATATCCGTTCGCTTGGACTATACCAACTCATGCCAACATGACACCAAAGAATGCCAACATGTCTTGCTGCACACAGTTGCTGAGCTCTTGCAGTGAGACAGCAGGTACACAGAGCTGGCCAAGCTCTGCTCCCCATGACACCGCACACCCGCCACAACAGCGTCAAAAAAAAGCCCCTGCCTCAACATCAAAAGAGCCAAAATAGCAAAACAAACAAATCTGCCTTTACCCAAGATTCCCAAGCAAAGAAACATCCAAACCTTCTTCGCCTTAAGCCCTAAAACTTAGCATCCCTCGCCCTGAACCCTCTAACGTGCCTTGTGCACGAGAGACCCAAAGTCTGAACCCTAACATCCCAGTAGCCCTACACCCAAGAATCCTCAACTCAACAGTCCTAAGGTCTTGCAAGCCCAAGAGCCTAACAGCCTGAAAGTGCAAAGATGCAATACTAAGAAAACCCGAAAAAAACAAAACAGCCGCCTAACTCCCCAAAATCCAAAAGTCCAAGCCTTGAATCCATGGAGGCGACAGTGCTTTCTGTAGTGCGAGCAGCCAAGATAGTGCACGTGGTAGCCGAGCTGTGTTTTTGAGAGCAGAACCGTACCGGTCATGAGGTTGCTGTCCCAATGTGCGCGAAAAGAAGCTACACCTGTACTAAGTACATAGCCCTGTCAGCCACAGCTTGGCTAGCCAAAAGTGCAAAAAAATGCCAGAAACATCATACAAGCAAAGAGCACAAGAACTTTGAAGAGATTCTGCAACAGCGTCTCAAGCACCGTGGAATGTACCCTTTGTAGATGCTGGCATCATGATTGTTCGGTTTTGTGCTGCAGAAGCTGGCAACAAATGAGACTGCAGTGATGCTAATGGGTGTGGCATCGCTCAGCTTGACCAACTTGCCCGTACGTTCTCAGGCTAAGTTTGGACACTTGATTCCAGCTCGTGATGCCGCCGAGAAGCCAAAGAGTTCCTTGGAAGCGCAAAGCAGACAAGGCCAGAGCAGATGAAGTGTCACAGTGCGCAGATGCGGAAGAGCGTCCCCGAGCAGCTCCACCGATTTGGGCGATGTGTCTGCTCCTAGCGAGTGGCTTATTCAAATCGGCCCACGGAGAATGTTATGAGAGCGCTGTGGCCTGAGGTGGCCGAACTCTGCTGCGGGGCGGCCTTTCTCAACCCATCCGACAAGCAGGCTGAGAATAGCTGAGCTGCTTTTCTCAGTAGGCACATGGTCTACATATCACGAAAGCTCCTTGGAGGGAGCTTGTTTTAGTACCTCACGGAGTGAGCCTGGGGTCATGCGGAGGGTGTGCGGTGGGCGCCAATTTGGTGTGTTTTTTTTGGCTGCCCTGCACCACCGGCTGGATTTTCAGGCGTTGCCATGGAGGGTTTTTTGGGCTAGATTCTTGGGGTGATCTTGGGGGCATCTTGCGGGGTCTTATGGGCAGTGAGGGCTGGGCTGCGTGCTCTTCTGGTTGTATATGGTCTGTCTCTTCATGTCCTGCCTCGCCACTCCTGTCCATTGTTGAGCTCTCGTCCCAACCCGTGGCCCTCAAGTTTTTGCTACCGTCGTGATTAATGACCGCAGAGATTTTCAATGTTCTTGAGGGTTGAATGATTTCGGTGTCCAAACTATCATAGCGTTCGTGCTACATGAGCCAGCGGTCACCAGCGCATCCATGCTCAAACCGCAATAACGTCCGTGTTCCAAGCGCATGCGGTGACTAGAGCATCCATGCCCAAATCATAATCACGTCCGTGTTCCAAGAGCATACGGTGACTAGAGCAGCAGCTGGCAGCGCGCGCAAACGGCAGGTGAAAACCTTTTCGTGCAGAGGTACTGTTCGCTGCGCAGCAGAATCTACTGTAAAACGCAGTGCATCGTGCACGTCACAAGCAGGAATAGTGGAAATGCCAGTGAATTTGGCTCATGCCTTTCACCTACACTTTTTGGACATGCACTCAAAAGCACCATGAAACGCATTTTTTCATTTACACTCGCCGAGTGCGACGTGCTGAAACTGCGCGGCCGCTAACAACGACGGCACCAAGTTGTTGCCATTGCAAGATCCAGGCTCGCCGAGCAATTGGTGAGGTCGTCCGTGCTCAGAGGAGTGTCTGGCGCTCAGTTCCGCAAGGTTTTATTCAGCCTGATGTGCCCCTTGTCCAGGCAGGACATGGTCTAGAAGAAACTGTGAACGGCGTCATTAAGCTTCTGGACAGCAAAGACGTCCACGATGCTGGCCTGCATCTGATACAACACGGGTTTTTGTGGTTGTAACTCCGAGCGCTGCCTGAATTCTTTAGCCAGGAGTTGGCCAAGCTTCTGGCGAGTGTGGGTGGCCTTTCTGGCATCCTTTGCATTTCTGCCTTGAGTGGTGACAGCTCTGGCGTGGGAGTGACTTGCCCCGCTGGCAAAGGGCATGGGCTTTTTCTAGGCGTGCCACCGGGTACCAAGTAAAGCCACTCTGACTAAGCACGTCAAGCTGCGCATGAGTTGAACCGAGTTTGGAATCCGCGCTGCGATGGCACCTCTTCGAGCTTTGCTTTCAGCTGTGCACTTTTGGGGCCTGCTGGCAGTGACCGCTCTGCTGGTGCTCGGAAACTTGATTCTCGTCAAGCACGGGATGGGGGCAATCATGCATGTGGTTCGCGGCGTTTCAAGATATCCAGCCCCCAGGACTCTGCTCAAGACTTTGGTGCAGAAGCCAGCAGCTTCTTGCTGCACCTTTCAGAGCGCCTCATGACTCTCGCAGATGTTTCCTTTGGCCAAAAAAGTTTGAAAGCATCCCAGGTTTTTGCTGCACTGGGGAACTTTGGGACCCTGGCTCGATGTGTTGGCTGCGCAGGGGCTGCAGGCGGGGCTTCTTCTGCGAGGCTCTTCATCTACAATACGTTCAGCAAGGATTGGAGTCCGGCCCGATCTCCAGTTGGGCCATGCTGAGCGCTGCCGCATGCGTAGCCCGGATCTCGAGGACGCATAGTTGTTGTTCCCAAGCAACAGTCAGACAACAGAGATGCCGCGGTAACGGCTGGCAGTTGAGGATAATCGTCCACGAACAGCTGACACCTTCCGTCTGGCTGGCTAGCTGGTGGTCAAAATCCAGAGTTTCTGTAGAACCAGTGGTGCTCACTACTTTGGGCCTGGACGCTTGGCAGCTGGCTCAGGAGCAGCTGCAGAAGGAGCCCATAATGTCATGATGCTAATATCGTGTAGCAGCGTAGCATCTCCATGTGAGGTGCCTGGCGGTGCTTCTGCTGATTGTGCTGAGGTGGGGAGCTCCTTTGCTACCTTCCTTTTTGTTGGCAGGGCATGTGTCGTCGACATGACAGGAGACCCCGGAAGTTGGTCCTCCTGGCTGCATTTGCATATCCCTGCATTGCTCTTGCACGAGGATTGGATCAGCTGATGTGATTTCTTGTTGTTACAACTCCCTGTTCATGCTGCTCTGTTCGTGTGCACAGGAGCTCCAAACTCACAGCCCTTTGAAATCTACGTCTCCCCAGCGTTGGTGCATTCCCCGACTGTCATGGCAGTGACATCGGTCCCTTGACTATCCTGAGCAGATCATGTTTTGCCGTCCGCATGGTTGTATTGTGAGGCATTGCTCATATTCATGGGCGGCTTTCCCACCATGCTATCCAGCATTCTGTTGGTTCAGGCGGGGTCAGACATGGGCCTACAGAATATTTCTAGCATCAAAGCATCTGCAGCTTGGGGATTGGATGTTAAGCTCAATGTTACTACCAACAGCACGACATGTGATGGTTGCAGCACCCAGCACGTGTGCAAGGGCCTGGCTTGCAGCTCGTTGTCCAAGTATATCAGAAAAAACTTGATTTTTTTTTGGGCTTGTGCCTTGGCTGTTTGGGGAGATAGTTGTGGTTGGAATCAGCAATAGACATGCTGCAGTCGGGCTAGTCACTGACCGTTTGAACGCGGGAGGGTTTCAGACAACACCATCTCTTTGGTTGCTAGTGCGAAAGTCCTTCGCGGCCGTGCGAGAAGGTCTGTTGGGCATTGGTTTCAGTGAGCAGCAATCAAAGGCATGTGCGGTCTCAAGTCAGAAGAAAGCTTCCATGTGAGGTGTTGTACTTCGTCCACGGCTTAGACACTGCCAAGTTGTGATTCGTGGAGACGCACGGCTTGGGGAAAAAGGGCCTGTCTGCGCAAATGCTGCATACACATGGATCTTATGTACTGGTTGGTGGGCTGTTTGGCTTGGAACAGCAATTCGCTTTTGGTGAGCAAGGTTCACTTGAGCGGCGGCTGTGCGGCGCTGGCAGGCTGCATGCTTCTTGGGAGGCCTCCCCTCATGGAGCGAAGCGTTCTCGATGTAGTACAGGTGAATTCGACATCGGAAAAGCCAACATTAGAAGAAGTCAGGCCCAATGCATCTCTAGCACCATAAGAAAGCACTCAGGCGAATTATGTGCAAGGAACTTGATGAGCTCCTTGGATGCAGTGATGGGGGGCAAGAGTCACATGTGCACATTTCCATATCACTTTTAAGCAGACTTGGCCTTTTTACCTGATGCGAAGGGACGAGGAGTGCGCCTCGACTGCAAATTCCAGCTAGATCTGGCTGTAGGGACCGGCATCAGATGCAGGAGTTGATCATCAGAGCAGCAGCGAAGAAGGCATTTGTGGCATTTTCGAAAGACACAGCATGACATGCCCAGGCCTCGCTGCAGAGCGAGCCGAAAGCATGATAAAGGCCGCTCCCCCATGCCAGCTTTGAGCACGTTGCACGATGTTGCACGTTTCGTGCCCTCATCCTACCTTGCAGTGCCATAGCAGGTACGGCGTCGGTGGACCCCAAGCTGCAAGGAGATTCCCGTGGGCAGCATGTGTAGGATGTACTCTATAAGCTAGTTTTTCCAGCGCAGAAGCATGGTGCACATAGCTCAGGGACGGCGTTCAGGTGGACAATTGGGCGCGCCGTTTTGATGATGAGGTCAGACGTTGTGGCTCGTGTGAATTCACCAAGCAGCCCTTTATCAAAGTTTCACATGCAGATCCTCTGCCTTGGAATGGGGAGGCCCGAGACAAACTGGAGTTCCAGGCTTGCAGCTACTTGCAGGTCATGGGCCACTTGCCTGTTTACAGGAGAACAACGAAACTTCCAGCATGCTTGACAAGAGTCTCACCACGTAAACGCCCAGAATCCGAGGAATGTTCACTCTCTGGGTTGGCTGGTACGGCTTCAATGCCGGGTGGCTGGACAGGAATGCAGGACTTATACTCTTGATCTGTGGCTGTGATTTGTGTGGGCTGGGCAATCTTAGGTCTGTGCTTGCAACTGACCATCACTATGACCATGCCGTGACTTGGGCCAGTTGTTTAACAGAAGTCCGCCGCATTTAAGCCTTATCAAGCCTTCTGGAAAGATGTCTTGTTAGGCTGCCTTGGTCTCCTGGAACACCACACTCGCTGCCAGCGCAGCGGGGCTGGGTGCTTGTCTGTATCTCTACGGTTTTCACCTGATCCTGAGCTGCATTAATTAGGCTTGTAAAATGCAAGCCCCTGCAAAGAATACCAGCAACATCGTTGTGGGGCGCAAGTTGATGAGACGTGCACTCAGGAATCTCGACGTAGGCCAGGAGGGATGTTGATGTTTCCTGCCCAGCTTCGGAGCAGCATGTTAGCAAGTGTGCTCAAGTGCAAAACTGATTTCTCTGAGCTTGTCTCAACATTTCATGGTGTGGTGCCACGCAGGGCAAGTTGGTTGGTAGTCTTCATGGGTCTTTGGCAAAGCGGAAGCTTCATGGAGAAGGCTTCAGGTGGTGAAGAGGCATTAAGTTGGAAAACATGTGCAATCTGCTGAGCCATGGGAGACTCCAGCGCGGAGGACCTTGGCCGCAAGGTGCGACAGCGGCCTTCAACAGCAGCAGATCCGAGTTGCGTCATTTTGCGTGTTGTGTCGAGTAGGAGCCCTTGTTCCCTTGCACACAGGTGGATCACGGACTTGGATGGAGACACGTGATGGTTGCTTTGGACTCTTGCCTTCAGGCTTTTCCGAGCGTTTCCACTTTTTGCTGCAGTCTCGCCAACAAGGTTTTTTTCGTGATTGCCATCTGCTATGCTGATCGAACGAATATTGGAATTGTTCTGGCGCAGCAAGACTTGCCTGGAATTCCCCACAGCAGCTGAGCTTGCACTGGGCCGTTCGCTGTTCGCACGTCACTGAGACCACAAGTACTGGTTTCGCATGTACGTTTGTTGAGGTGAAAAAGGTACGATTCTTTCGGCTTTCTTCGTGGGGTATGCCCCCTCGCAGCTCTTGGGAGGCATGGCGGTGCCATGGTTGCAAAGGTCACCTCTAAGGCGCAAGTGACGGGTGTGACGCATCTGGTTTCATGCTTGTAGGCTGTGGGTTTCTCTGGAATCTCATATTATGGAACCTCATAGATTTGCGTGGAGGTGCGCCGATGGGGCTTCAAGGCAGGAAGGGGTAGCCCCCAACATTCCAGCACATTTTTTTTTCATTTATTCAATCGCCGCCAATGGTAACAT